TCTAGATTAGTTTTCCCTACTGTCACTTAAAAGAAATTGGATTTCTGCTGAAACTTTACTTTTTTTTTTGTAAATTGGCAGTGATTTGTTCCCCTCATAGAACTAAAAATAAACATTCTGCAAACAACAATTTTCTTGGGAAGGCGGAAATGTAAGCCGATTTCTATCGGAGGATAAAGGTCATAAACTCATCTCAAAATCCACATTGAGAAAAGGAGAAGCAAAAAGCAAAAGCTGCTTCATGTTTCCCAAACTTGATTAAAAAACAAAACATGGTGAAACATGCAGGACAACCTGAAACCTTTGATTCTTAAACAGTACTTCTAGTTAAAGAGAATGTAAAATCCCAGCATTAAGGAATGCATATCGCCCGCTGCCTTTCACGACAGAATTTGAAACTCCACTCATTTTGTGCTGAAAAGGGGCAGAGTTCTACTTGTTTTGGTCCAACCTTGTACTTTAAATGATCTCATGCAATATTAGGAGACCTTCTGAGATGGGTTAGTGCTCAGAGAACATGTTGACGACGACTCTCAGCTACTACCACACTAAGTTTAGCTCCATATCTATAAAATTCATGGAGTTTTCACCATATTTGTTTTAGCTGAAGTTAATTTGTTGTGATGTCCCTCATGAACTGGAGTGACTCTAAAAGTTACTCATTTGTTTAAGTAAACTCAATGGTTACTTCCTGAGAGTTTATTCAAATTCATCCACTAGTCCACAAGTTATTTTGCTAATCTACAGACATGAGAAAAAAAAAGTAATTCCTTTTCAGCATCAACAGTGAGCAATAAATAGAAATGAAAACAATAAAAGGTTCAGGAAATTTTGTCATTTCGAAGTTCATGATGATCAGTTCCTCTCTACTCCTTCAGCTCCACAGAAACATTGGCAGGAGTGCAACAAAGTTAAGTCAGGTCATCTGGACATGTTCTTTTTGTGTTGAGACTGTTTGTTTGTATTACTGTTTTTCTTTTACATTTTCTTGTTGGATGTAACTGGGACCCTGTGTACACAATTTCTTTCCACCAATTGTATCACATGTGGTGAGAATGACAAATAAAAAAACTCTGACTCTCTGTTTTGCCTTTCATCCAAACGACTTCATCAGTCTGAGGAACTGCAACAAACTGAGTCCCACGAGCAGCACATTCACATAGTGGACCAACCAGTTTGCTTGTGATAAAATGTTTCTGGGGCCCGCCCTCTCCCCCGTGTTTGAGTAATAATGTGAGTGTGCTGCTTGTGAGACCAAGTTTGCTGTGGCTCATCGGACTGATGAAGTCCTTTGGATGAAGGACGAAACATCTCAACAAAAAAAAGAAACCATCCAGATGACCTGACTTAACTTTGTTGGATTTTTTACCTGGATTATTGAGCATGCACTATGATGATTGACAGGGACGCACAAACGTTGGCATGCAGAGAGACTAATGTTTGTGTAGAAGTATGTGGTGCAGGATTCTTGATTTTAGATTTTAGACTCAGCAGAAAATAGTTATTGAGGTGTAGAATGTGTCTCACACAACTGAAGGAGGCTGCACTTCACTGGTCATTCAACCCCAAACGGCAGAAACCTGACAAATGTTTACTGAAGCGTTTCCTCGTTTTCTGTGGGCGTCACAACTGTAACACCTTCTGACCATTAGGTGAAATACAACCTTGGAAATATGACAAACCAAAGTGTTATTAAGTCTGTATAAGACATATTTTAAATCTAGGTTGCACTAGAACAAACTGTGATAAAGGGATGAATCCACGTGTTCTGCAGTCTGTAAACTGTGACATTTGTTCAGATTAATTTGTAGTTTAAAACAAAATGAATGTTGGATGATGTCAGCTAATCGTCATCTACACTGGTGTGTTTGCTCTGTAAAGATTGATGCTCCCATCCATGACCTGGCTTCTGCTCATTCTAATCTCTCAGGTGGGTAAGATGCCAGTTGCTGCACCAGGACCATATGGCCGCTGCCTTCCTTTGCCCGTGTTGGCTGACCTCTGTGACTAACTCATGCTGACAACTTTCTGCTCATAGATAAGGTGTTATCAGCCAGTCTCCTGTCATATTTCTCTGCATATGAATGCTTATCACAGTATTACACTTTTCCTTGTTCTGCCTTCTTGATTTTGCAAGAAGTCCCCTATAAAATGAAATCCTTTCACGTTGAATCTTTCATATTGCACATGAGTGCAGCTCAGAACTGCACGTTCAGAACAGTGGGTCCTGTCCGCGTTGATTCCAAGTCTGAGCTCGCACTCCTCTCTGCTTTTGGACCAAAGGAGGACGCATCTGTTTGCATTGCACCACTGCTCTGCACAGTGTGTTCCTGTGGAAGCAGCAGAGTGAGCCGGATCGCAGGAAGGCCGTGATCCTGCAGGGCCAGAAGTATTATCCTCTATTTCAGAGTCAGAGTCAGAGTTTCTTTATTGTCATTCGCACCTCATGTGGTACATGTGGTGGAGCGAAATTATGTACACGGGGTCCCAGTTACATCCAACAATAAAATGTCTAAGAAAAACAGCAATAACATCTAAGATATGAACTAAGAAAAACATCAACTAAATATACACTAAGCACTCATAACATAAAACATTGAACATCAGCACAAACATGAACATGAGTCTGTGTGAGCAGATGTGCACGCATGAACACATCAACATTGAAACAGATCAGCAGCAACATGAAACAGATCAGCAGCAACATGATATGGTTTTTCACAATGATTATTCTAGTTAGAGATTCATGAAAATGATGGAGATAGAAGGAAATCAGCCATAATCTATAACCTGTTTGCTGGGAGACTGGATATAACTTAAATAAAATAACTAATCTATCATTTTCTTTTTAGGGGAATGCCTGTCACCTGCCATCTATCCAGTTTTATTATATTGAGAAATGATAGAGTTTAAGTCGTTTTGCTCAAACCTCATATAATATAATTTGATGTTGTGAAATGTCAAGCTCAAACTATTCGTTGTGAACGACTCAAAGCTACTTTACATCAAGTTTTCATTCAGTATCTGTAAAATTTACTGTATTTTAGCCATTTTAGTGTTGGCTAATATTGCTCTGGTTTGGTGGTCGTCTTGAAGTTGACTCCAACAGTTATTCAGTTACAGCTGTACCGTCAATGATTATTTCAGATTATTTATTATTTCAGAGTTTCATTCAAATCAGTCCAGTGGTTCATGAGATATTTCGCCAACAGAACAGAGTTCACTCCAACAGCTAATGTTAAAGTTTGAGGTAAAAGTCTGCTCAATAAGTAGCACTTGTTGTGAAAGACTCTCAGCTACTACCACCCCAAATCTTAGATCAATGTTTGTAAAATTCAGAGTAATTTTGGTGGTTTTTCAGGTCATTTGTCTGTGGTGGCCCCCTTGAATCATGTTGACTCCAAAGATTAATCAGATACAGAGGATCACCCAATGATGCCTTTCAAAGCTTCAATAAAATTCATTCAGTTGTTTGTGAGATGTTTGAGTAAAAGATAAATGGCAAAAACTTTATCCTTTCGTCTTTCGACGGGCAACAAGGAACTGAATATGTTTTGGATTTCAGGCTTCAAGAGAACGACATGAACTTTGTACTGAGCCGTGTCGCCTGCAGAGCTGACGTGATTCTCAGCAACTTTATGGTTGCTTTTATTTCACTTCTATAAGACTGTCTCACCCAGAGGAACATCTGATCAAGGTTCCTTTCACATGTGTCAAACCCAAGGCCCGTGGGCCAAATCTGGCCCTTGTTAACAGTTTTTAATTTTATTCAACCTTTTATTTATACAGGCTAGCCTCATTGAGCCACGGGGACTCATTTGCAAGAGGGACCTCTTCCAGACAGAACATATAAAGTACAGACAACAAAACGGTAAACAATGATAACAATAAACTACAGTAAAAATACAGTTAAAATATAAAACAATAAATCAGGGTGCTGTAAAACAGGGTGAAATACTAAAAACAAGAACTTTGCTTTGATTTCTTTATTTCTTATTCTTTCGTTCTTGTTCTTATTTCTTATTTTCTATTTCTTGTACAGCCCCCAAGGTTATAATTTAAATGAAAAATGTGTTTATTGCTTCTCATTTTGCTTAACAAATATTTAATGCAGGATTCTCATGATGGCTGTCTAACATTGATGCCAGAGAAAAGGTTGGATTTATCTGTAATATTTGATTTTGATGGAGGAGCAACAAAACACATCAAATGGGACCAATTTAACTTCTGTTTATGAAGCTGGAACCAAGAAAAGATGATGGATATCTGACATGGATTACAGCATTAGCCCATGACTTGTAAAATGTTTAAAATTTTGGCCCTTTTATGCAATTGAGGTTGACACTTCCAGATTGTGGGAGGAAGGTGCAGAGTCAGGGGTTCATTGGAACATCTCACTTCTCTGGAACCGTCCCGCATGGATATTTTTTAAAATGATCATCAAGACAAGTAAAACACCAACAGAAACCAGGTGGAGCAGGTTCTAATTCACAGGAAACAAGCAGCAGAGAAACATAAAATACCCATATTTCTGTGGGAACTGATTGCTCCTGATAAAACCTCATCCACTGGAGGAGAGAGAGAGGAGGCGCGCGGCCGCCTGCGCACAAGCTGCAAACCACGCGCATGCTTCTCCTCCCTCTGCCTTTGCCAAATCAAAAAAAGCTGCTTTGTCAAACTGAAACGTGTCGGCTGACGAGCACTCGGCGCCCATGTGATTACATCGAAGCGCGTGGGAAACATGCAGCGCGCACGGGAAGCAGGTGGAGCGGCGGAGACCCGGAAAGACGCACAACAGCCGCAGGACCAAAGCACCTGCTCCAAACCAAAAACTACTCCCCCCTAGCTGCGGAGTCGTCTTGTATCCCTCTCAGAAAGCTGGATTTATCTCGGGTTAGATTTGGGGAGCGGGACAACGGGGGCATCATGAACGCGCAAGCTGTTTGGAGATCACCATAAGGACAAAAAGGACACCTCGGATTTCCTCCTGCTCCGCCAGGATGGCCGGGGCTCCTATAGGGCAGTCCCTCTACATCGGGATGGAGGTCCTGATCGCGGTGGCCTCAGTGATCGGGAACGTGATGGTGGTCTGGGCGGTGAGGATTAATAAATCCCTGCGAGACACCACCTTTTGTTTCATCGTCTCCCTGGCTCTGGCGGACATTGCGGTGGGAGCGCTCGTCATCCCGCTGGCCATCACCATCAGCATCGGACTTGAGACGCACTTCTACAGCTGCCTGCTCGTGGCGTGCACGGTGCTGGTGCTGACGCAAAGTTCCATCCTGGCCCTGCTGGCCATCGCGATTGACCGCTACCTCAGGATCAAGATCCCGACCAGGTAATGTTGCTCAGGAGGGGGGGACGGGTTCAAGAGGGAGCAGAGTGCTGGTTCAGTGACATTAAAGTGATGGCTGAGTTTTGTTCCCAGAAAAGCCTCACAGGTCAGCTTCACTTCCTGGCTATTGATTGGCACGTGCATGGGCTCGTTTTTCACTTGACAGCATTTCCCATTTGTGCCAACATGACATCTATAGGACTGTTGATCAGCCTGCAGATGGATCAGGTCTCAGCATCTTTCTAAAACAACGAGAGAGGCAGGCCTGTATAGTTAGAGCACATGCAAATAGTTTTCACACTGAAACAAAAACCAGAAGAGTCAGGGGGAGGAGGAGAAGCGAAAAGATAAGCCAGTGTCATAAAAAGATGGAAGTTATAATCTGAGGGGCCTCCAGGGACAGTGGCTTTTGTCCAACCCTCATTACAGCACTCAGCTTAAAGTTTCAGCTCTTGACCTGTCAGAGTTTAGTCCTTATTACTTTATTTATTCGTTGTCTAAGGAATACATCTTCTTTCCTATAGCTTCCAGGAAAGTATTAAAATACAACCGTATTATCCTCATGAGCAGGCTGTCTGCGCCGCTCCTCAGTCAATACTAATCCAACACATGGCACCTGTGACAGTCCAGCTAAATTACAGGCTCCAGTTTGGCTTCAGGCTACTTTTCAGCAAAGGTCAGGTTGTTGTAATGCAAACATTTCCTCTGCTGTTACAACATCAGATGCTGTAAATATACGATATGATTACTGCTGCACATGCGCTCTAACATGAGATGGATCTGATAAGTGCTTGTATCTCTGCTTTGAGATGTTTCAGGCCGAGTCTGGTTTGTTTCTTGGCCTTAAGACATCAACAGAACCTCCTGCTCGTTATCTCTTAGATAAAGCAAATACTGAAAACCTGTTTCTGAACATGTAAACCTTGTAATTCACCTAATATCACAGCTTATCTCTGCTGTGCTTAATTAAATGTTAAAGTCATCGTATCTGAATTTAATTTATTTTTACCATCAGCGAACATATAAAAGTTGGTTTTGATGCAAAACTTGATCATTCGGCTCCTGGAAACACGTCAAACAAAACCAGCACATCTTTGTGACTCAAGATGAATCATGTTTAGGTAATTATTATAAATCTCAGCTCAAACACACCGCTCAAAGGAGCAAAAATCACATTTCTCATAAAAAGTTGACCTTTGGAGTCAAATAAAATGTACTACTAAAACAACAAGTCATCAGTAGATGATTTATTAAATTCTTATACATAAACAAAAAAATGAGAGTAAACTAGAAACAATGGAATAAAACAAATTAGTAGCTTACCAAAGAAACATGTATTTTGTGAGATAAAAGCCAAAGAATTGTAACAGTATGTGAACAGATTGTGGACAGTTGAACAATTTTCACTTCATGGATTAAAAAAAAAGCTTATAATTAAAGAGCAAGAATTACATGAAAAAAATGTTGATACAAGCAAAACAAACTCCATGAGATTAAAAGGAGCACTTATTTTTTTTAAGTTAGTATTGTCTGCATTTCTGCTGCCAGAACCAGGTGTCACATAAATGAGGATTTAAAAAGACTCCAAATGCAGCTTAAAAAATAGCCAAGAGTTGACCTTTGTTGTTCCATAAATCTGTCGTAATCCTAGAATTTTTTTTAAAATAATAGTTTATGTATTAGATGTGTTTTTCTTTGTTTTATATTAAGATTCTTTATATTCAGCCTGTTTTGTCTCACTTGTTAAAGCTCCCTCTGTCAGCCTTGCCCTCAGTTTATCAATCCCACCTGTTCAATACTGGCCCATTAGCTTCAGCTGCACTTAGCCAGTAATCACCTTTCAGCTTTTTTATTGGTCCAAGTTTCAGTTCTGCCTTCTCATCTGTGCCTCGTCTTGTCCCCCTAACAAAATCTGCCTCATTTTGTTTGTTAGGTCAGGAGAGTTTTGTGTTTTATCTTAGCAAGCTAACTTTACTAAAAGCTTATGCCGTATTTTTAAGACTATAAGGCACACTTAAAAATCCTTTAACGTTCTCAAAAATCACCAGTGAGTCTTATAATCAGGTGCACCTTAAGTTTCAATTCTGGTTGTGCTTACTGACCTCAAACTGATTTTATGTGGTTATTGTGAATGAGTTGAATAAAGTTTGACTCATCCGACTGTTTTATTTCACTTAATGCACCTTATAATCCAAAAAATACGGTAACTGGAAAATAAAGCGAGGAAAACTCCTAAAGTACCTTCAAACATTATTCTTTGTCATCCACTAAAGGAAAAAGACTGGCATTAATGCCTGTGTCTGTGTGTTTGTTCATCATGTTAGCAAAATATCTCATGAGCCAGTGAACGAGTCTTAACATTTTCAATTCATTGTTTGACCCTTTGATTGCTCTAACTTGACTTTTCTGATCTAGAAAAAAAACGACTTAACTTACGGTAAATGTGAAGTAAAACATTAAACGTGTGACCTCCCAGAAAATATTGTTTGTATTTTTGTATGTCTTTTTTTTTCCTTTTCTCATCTAAGCAAAATAATATTCTGAATACGAATAAGAGGGTTGTGCTTTTTATAGTAGCAGCTTCGTGCACTCCGCCCATCTTTCAGACGACTGTACGTACATGTTCTCGTTGCATCTCGGTGCAATGATAATAAAGCTTATTCTGATTCTGATATTCATCTTCCAACATTTTTAAGGATAAAAACTGAGTTGTTTCTGCTCGTTCCTGCAGGTACAAGCGAGTGGTGACCCCTCGGCGAGCGGGCCTGGCGGTGGTGATGTGCTGGATGGTGGCTTTCATTGTGGGACTCATGCCCATGTTGGGCTGGAACAACCTGAGGCGCCTTCAGAACGACTCCAGCAGCCCAAACCTCAGCATCACCTGCCAGTTCGAAAACGTCATCAGCATGGACTACATGGTCTACTTTAACTTCTTCGGCTGGGTGCTTCCGCCGCTGCTGCTCATGCTGGTCATCTATGCAGAGATCTTCTTCATGATCCACAAGCAGCTCAACAATAAAAAAATCACCTCCAGTTACTCAGACCCCAACAAGTACTATGATAAGGAGCTGAATCTAGCCAAATCGCTGGTTCTGGTGCTTTTTCTCTTTGCCATCAGTTGGCTCCCTCTTCATATAATCAACTGCATCACGCTCTTCTGCCCGCAGTGCAACAAGCCCAGTGTTCTCCTCTACATCGCCATTCTGCTCTCGCACGGCAACTCTGCCGTCAACCCAATCGTCTACGCTTTCCGCATCAAGAAGTTTCGCTCGGCCTTCCGGAGAATATGGCAGCAGTACTTCTGCTGCAAGGACGCGCCGCCTCTGGACTTCCAGCAAAGTGAAAGGAAAGAGACGCCCAATCCGGTGCCGCTGCAGCCCGCGTCGCTGCATGACTTTAAATGTTATCCGCCGCTTCAGCCGGGGCAGCCCTCACCCGAGCTACAGAACGACCTGAAGATCAAAACGCCTCAGTGACCTCCCAAACCTTCACCCTTGGTGGAGCAGAACACGGCCTGAGTGAAGGATATTTGGGGATGTAAAAGGTCACTGCACAATGAACACAGTCTTATTAAGATCAGACATTTCTACACAAAACGGCTGCAAAGCCTTCGTGCAGGAGGCAACATGGATCAATAGAGGATAATTCATCTCCCCTCAGGAGGAGTGCATCAAAAATGCAGAGCGGGTTCTGATAAACCTGCAACACTGGAGGTCGTTTTGACTGTGCGTTTATCTTAGTAACAGACTGAACACATTGAGCTTTAACTGTTTATGGGGAAACAGCTGGAGCGAACTTCAGAAAATGTGCAATCTGAGCTACTTTCAGTATGAGACTCTGAAAAGTTCCAACCGGCTTGAGCATTTATACAAGCAGAGCAGGGTAACCTCACTATTGTGATATGTTTATACTGCTACAAAATATTGAATGTACTATAGTAAAATCGAGAGCGCAGCAGCACAACTGCTCATTTAGCCTTCAGGGTTTTAATTGCACAACAGCGTGCAAAGGAAGCAGCCCTACGAGGGGGGGATATTGCAGTGAGGGGGCACAGCAAAATGTTTTGTAGCCTCTTAATGTGTCTGCACTGAAGCTCAGGCACCTCAATGATCCAACAGCAGCTTTCCAATGCAGAACAGATGAGCGCATTTTAAATTTTTTAAAAGCTACATGCAGGGAACTTGTAGCGGCTAATCAAGAGGGAGAAACACAAGATGCTCTTAAAGTTCATCTTTGTCCAGCCTCCATGCCAGTTTGTGGTAATCATTTCCTCACTACATCATACTGTAGTGTCATTTTTTCCACCACAGACTGTAGCTTTTATGGCCTTTTTAAAATCATTGTCTAAATAATATTGACTGAACGCTCCAGCAGAAACCCTCACCTGAAGATTGTGAGTATTTACTGTTCTGTACGCTCATCATTTTGCATATTACCAAACGGTGGCTTCTTGATTGATGATTAAACTGGTGAGTGCCACATAATGTAAACACGATATATGAGAATGTACAGCTATAGTTTTGTCCTTTGTAAAAGCTTTAGCTCCGGCAAAGAAACATCTCTGACAATCTGTCTCTTAAGATCGACTTATTTTTTTTTACGACTGTCTTTTAACGCCTCACTGGCAGGAGTCAATGAAGATTTTATGCTTAACAGGCCACAAAGAAAACCTTAATGCAGTTATTTTTGGTGCAAACATCAAGACGCAATCCAAGCCTGTCATTTGTGGTTGTAAACTTAAAGTTGCAACAGGAAATATAATTTGAAGCAAAGGTCACACAGTCCAGACTGTTTTCTCTTATTTAGAGAAGGAATGACGTTAAATGTGCTGTAGCTGTGCACATCAGTGGAAAGAAAATAATAAAACGTCTGATCCTGCAGTACATTAAATACTCAGATGATCTTCATGGTTTTTACACATTTTTACATTTTAAGTAGCTAAAACTTTATGCTTAAGGTGAACTATTGATCATTAGTACTAATTGTCTTGCCAATTTAAACCAAAAGCACAATTCTTACCAAAAATGAAAGAAATATACTGATTAAAAAGTCTGCACGATGAGGGATGAAATGTTCCTTTAGAGTCCAAACAGTACAGGCTTCACTCAGACCTGGTCCTAATCAATCAACCTTTATTTAGACAGGTAAATCCCATTGAGCCTTGAAGAATCATTTACAAGAGAGACCTAATCTGTGATCTGTGATCTGTGATCCAACTGGTGGGAACAGCCTTGTGACACTGAAACGTTTTTATTAGTCAGTCAGAGATGGTCTGGACTTCTTTTATCCATTTGTGAGTCTGAACGCCATCCGTCCTGATGCTCTGTGACCCCTCAGCAGAGTTGTTACCTGGATGCCTCGAGGTTAAAAAAACTGTTGCTGGTTGAGTAAAAATAATTTAACAGCCATCCTTGGGAATATTTCTCTGCCTTTTGTGCATTTTTGTTTTGTTGACTAAATGTTTTACTTAACTTTTAAATTCCTTTTAAATAAAAATGCCCAAAATTTGATGAGATAAATGATAAAAATTTGTGAGGATTTTATTTATCAGAGTTGACTGGGGACTACCCAAGGCTGTTATTATCCACCTGAAAGGGTCTTGCTTTTCCATCAACTTTAATGCGGCCTGAACCACAGCGTTCACCCCCCACAAATTTTATATCAAAACAATTGGCTCGACACTGTGATGTGTATACTATTACTTTAATTGGCATTTTGAGTTACCATGGCAACGTGATTTGCAAACAAAACCTCAGATTGTTTTAAAAGGTACTGAGCTGAAATTTGGTGTGATGGGAGCTGAGAGCAATGTCCAATACACACTGAATTAAAAAATAATAATAATTCAAGATGGCCACCAAAGCTAAATTTAAATGGCTTTAACTTAGCTATTTACACATATAGAGCTGAAATTTGTGAAGTTATAGCTGAGAACATTCCCCATCACATTCCAAATCAAAAATCCAAGATGGCCTCCATAGCTTAAAAAAAAAAACCTACTATAACTCATTGATTGTTGTTGTTGTTGTTGCCATACTGAGCTGAAATTTTGTATGTTGGTAGTTGAGAGGAAACCCCAACACATATTGTCAAATCATTTAATGGCTGCTACATGACAGTCCCCGTCCAAGTTTCTCCAGGAACTTTCTAGTTAATAATGGTTGCTGCATGGTGTGCTTCTCAAAACATTTGTTCCGATTGTTTTTACCATACCACTTTATTTATAGAGCACTTAAAACAGTGACAAGGCCAACCAAAGTGCTGTACAGACAGAACAACAGGTAACACACAAAGCAAAATACAAAATGAAGTAAATCAGAAATATAGACATAAAAACAATGCAGATAATGACGACTAACCAGTGTGGAGCGTACAGGTTCAAAACACAGATCATCTGGTGTTGAAAGCTACAGAATAGTAGTGGGTTTTTAAACGGGACTTGAAAACCGAGAGGGAGGGGACCTGTCTGACAAGCAGAGGTAACTCGTTCCAAAGTCTTGGTCCTGCCCTGTCCCCTCTGCGCTTAAGACGAGTTCCTGGAACTGTGAGGAGCAAGTGGTTTTTAGAGCAGACTGTGGTCACTGCACAGTAAAATACACTGTCAATCACAGGACAACAGTCTAAGCAGCATCATATTACGTTATAATCGCCAAATTAAAAACAACTATGACTTTACGTTCACAATGAAGATGTAGAGAAAGCAGATGATGGATGCAGTGGTTTTACTGTGGTGGAGTTTTCTGGTCTCAATCTTTTAGACTCTGCTTCAACCCTTTGTGAAGCCATTCATTGTTTTATACTCTTTTCCCCATACTGTGTCCGTTGGGTAATTGAGCTCATTAAGAAAAGTGTGCTAAATAATTCTGCAGAAATGTGACTTTATTGGCTCCTATGTTAAATTGTGCTATAGTTCAGACATGGGAATGTATTGTAAATTTGACAGAAACATCAGCAGGCCTGTAGTTGCTCAGTGGCAGCCCAGAGTTAATAGCAGGTCTGAACTGAGCTGTGCATGCTGTGCACAGACGCAGTGTAACAGAAAAACAGGAAAACAACAACAAAGGGAACAAAATGCTCACAAATACAAAACTTTAGACTAGAGTATCAACATGGTGAATGAATAAAAATGGACAGAATTTACACTAGTTTCTCTCAGATGCAGGTTTTTTTAATTTATTTATTAATTTCATACTGTTTTTATTCAGCTTCACGCAGAAACTAACTGCTGTTTTTGATTTAGAAAAACTGTGGCACAAAGGTGAAACCCCAATATAAGTAGAGTCCATATTGTTCTTACAGTCACCATGAATGGTCATATTACTACTCATTTATGAAATGCTCTGAGGAGCATCTGTTTACAAACCGTTTTATAAAACAACAATAATAATATTTCTGGATGGATGGATAAAGTTCAATATTTTAGAAGATTGGAGTGGCAGCATTCCATTTTGAGCATCATTAATGCAGATTTTCAAACAAGTTTCATAAGTCTGACAGATTTTCCCCTAAGAAAGCAGCACTTTCTATATTCTATAAATGCATTTATGTAACCGAGAATAAAATCAGCTAAATTTAGATGATGGAAAATCAGCATTTTGTAACACCCCAACCATCTTACCTGTGCAGCTATTCAGTCGCTTTCTAAAAGTGAACGATTTATTGGGTCATTTCTCTTCCTGCTCGGTCCTTTTGACGAGTCATCGTTTTCAGAGTTGTAATTATTCGGGGAGCAATCAACAACTCTGAGCCCAGGTTATTCTGACTTTGTAAAGGTGCCTCCCTGCAGCTCTGCAGGGCTGTCAGAATCCTCATTAACGCAGCACAATAATGCAGTTAGATAACACGGGGGACTGTCGTGACTCCGGCGACCCATTTTTCCTCTTTCTTCGATGTGTGCAGACATGAAGCTCCTAAAAAGAGCACAGCCTAAAGACTTCTCACTTCTCACCCTTCTCAGTCTACAAGTTTCATGCAAATTTTACAAAAGAATCCGTACAGAAGAAGACACGCTCCGTGTGCTTCCTTTTATGTGACAAAATGTTGACCATAAAGCTTGTGTAAATCAATAACCTGGTTCAATACTCCTTTTTTTCACAGTCTAGCACCACTATTTCAGTCTCTGAGGCTATTCTTACGCTGAGACTTCAGGCGGAGATTGAATATCAAGTGGAAGGAGATTGCAGATAAGAACAACAACCACGAGGAGAGGACAAGCTGCAGCTGTGTGTTTGCAGCCGGACAGCGGAGGCGACCTTTCCTTGAAGCCACCAGCTGTTTGTGAGGCTCATGTGGATGTGAACTCCTGAGAGTTGGTGCAAAACTCTGAACGCACTTGTCATCTTGCAGTAACTTTGACAGAAATTCAGTTTTTATATCTCAGATTTTACATTTTATGTGCTTACCCAGTTAAAGAAACTTATTTTCATCTTTAAAGTCAGGTTCTTTGAAAGGATAACCTGCAGTAGATAAACATCCT